CATTATTACAATTATATAATAAGCAAATATTAACAAGTTAATAATTTAAAATTATAAATAAACTCAAAATTGAAAATAATAAACTCTAATAATATTCTTTGATTATTACGCATAAGTCATTTAATATTTAGGTGTATAGTCATACTTTTACTAGTAAAATTGGATCTGTTATTGAGGATTATCACAGAAAACGTTTTCAAATGAAGTGTGCAATATTTTTTAATTATTTTCTTTTTGAGATCGTCACAATTTAGCAAATACGAAAGGTCTTGGAATCTCTCAAATAAAAATGTTGTGATATTGTCTTGAATTGAAAGAACTTCCAATTTTTGTTTAATTACTGATTTCATGCTTTTAAAAAACTGAAACGTTGAAAGGTTGATATAAAATAATGTCTCTTCTGTGAAACATTTAAAACGCATGCGCTTGGTGCGCCTTTGATTCCGTGGCAGCAATACATTCGTGGCATCAAAATATACCTGGAATATACATCGTTTAATAATTTATTTATATTAAAAAATTATAAAAGCAAATTCTTACTAATCTCATATAACACCGAATTATCAGACGGAATCTAGTCTTATCGTCTTATGTTATTAACCCAAATTTTTTTTCTGGGTTTCATGGAAAACGACACATTTTATAACTTTTTTGGCAGAGTTTGTGAACGAGAATTTCTTGTGTAGTCATTACAACTTAATCTATTTGTTTTTTGACATATTAGAGCTACAATGCCTGGGTTTGTGCAATAATTTGCTACACACTCAGGCATTGTACCTCTAATATGTCAAAAAACAAATAGATTAAGTTATAATAACTACACAAGAAATTCTCGTTTTTATGTCATTAAAAGAATATATAATTCCACTGCAATCCACTCATCTCTCCTTCTTCTCAATCTAAATGACTCGCCAAATAAATGATCAATAAACAAATCACTCACCTCTGACGGCTCTGACGCACACAAAATTCGTTAAAAACAGTGTAAATGATTGTGTAAATGTACACTTATAGTACATGATATGCAACTTCCGCTTTTGCCTCAATTTAGCGGACCAATCGTTACCCGTACTCTTATTATAGGTATTCTACGTGGCCAGCGATTAACGTGGATTGCTAAAAGTGGGTCTGAGCATACGTGCCGTGCCAGAGATCGAAAATCTCTCGGCATGTTACGGCGCCTGTTGGAGTATTTGACGCACCACACAGCGATTTGAACATGTGCATCTTGACATTGTTATGCTAGTTTCAGAGAGGAAGAGATACTATTTCATCTGTATTGACCGCTTCACGCGATGGCATTCCCGCTAAGAGACCAGGAAGCAGAGACGGTCACCAAAGTATTTTATGAGAGCTGGAGTTGCCGTTTCAGGTCGCCTCTGTGAGTCACCACGGACCAAGGATGCCAATTCGAGTTCCACCTTTTCCGTCAGTTGAGCGAACTGACGGAAACAGCACATCTCAGGACAACAGCATACCATCCGTAAGCGAATGATATGGTGGAGCGGCTTCATCGCCAGCTCAAGGCCGTGATCAAGTGCCACCGGTGCCGAGGACAACCGGTGGATTGAAGCATTGCTGTTCTACTATCCTGTTAGGAATGTGAGTTGTGTGGAGAAAAGACCTTCTGGTAACAACTGCCGAATTGATGTACAGAGAAGCGATCTGAACTTCCGGGGCAGTTCCTGAGTCGACCGTCATCAGAGGATTCGAGCGACATTGCTAATTATGTTGCGCCGGTGTTTCAACGAATCGTTCGATCATGGGGACTTGTCATGGAGGAAGTCACCCATTCGCATTCAAGAATCTGGTAACAGCTAGCCAAGTATTTGTTTGATATGAGAGACCGAAAATGTTGCCTTCTTACGATGCGATGGACCGTTCGTGGTCTCGAATCGAGTCGACAAAAGTTTTTGTGCGTATGCATGGCAAAGATATCACGGTTTCGACAGACCAGTTAAAGTCAGTATATTTGCTTTCACAGATTCGACAACAGATAGCGATACACAGATGGCGGAAACGCTGGGCCAAAATAATAACAGAAGAGCAAATATGAGCCAGAGCGAAGGGCTTCCAGAGGAACGTCCCGCAATTGTAACGAGATTGGGAAGAAAATTGAAATTGCCTGATTGCCTTCAAGTCGGATCAAGAAGATGAGATTCATAATTAGTAAAACTATTTGTATAACATAAAAGAGCAATTGAGACAAATTATTTTTTTTTTCTTTAGCTGTGCTATAAGTTCCATGTTTAGTAATACTCGTACTATAATAATAAATAATAATGTTTTTCTTTTTTTCTTGACTCATGCGTTACGAATGAATTATTTATGTGTGTGTGTGTGTGTGCGCGTGTGTGCGTGTGCGCGCGCGTGTGTGTATTGTGGTTGCAAAAATATTGTTGTAATTATTTGCATTGAAATTTATATTAAGTATACATTGGGAATCACATGTATTAGGCAGCCTAACGCGAGATTTTAATTCTGTAGTTTTTTTTTAATTATTATTTATCATATTGTAAGTGCATCACCGACAGGGAAGTCCTGTGGCGATCACATCGTCCACGATTCTTGTGTACAAACATGCATGTGAGATGGCTGGAGATGTTCGGTATGTACACATATTCGCACATGTATTCGCGACTTAAGACAATAGCGATATTTAAATTTTCTTTTATATAGTTTTCTCGTATTAAACTAGCGAGTCGAATTCTTTCCGATCTTTCTCAATAGATTTTCTCAAGCATTTAACTGCTGTAATATTTAGAATGAATAATTGTGTAGCATCTAATTGAGACCCAAACATTTAAATATATTCAACCGTCAGGAATAACTGAAAATCGAGATAAACAAGATCGATAGAGATGGATGAAAAAAATATTTAGATGTTAGGATCTGGAAGAAGAAAAGGTTCAGCAATAACATGTCTCGAGAAGAAAAGATTATGGAGTTTGCTGCGAGACTTTAACAGATACAGACATGCTGTAATCGCCTTAAAAAGATCGATAATAAAACAGGCATACGAAACACGGAACGAAATCTCTTTTGTTTAGCTACTCGATATTCTATTGGCTCCCGCACACAGAACGCGGCAACGCTTGCAGCGCAGCGGAAGTAATGTTATATCATTTCTAGAAGTTTTGCATGGTGAGGCCGACTTAAGAACATAGAATTATTGGTTAGTGCAATAACTTCCGCATGTGGCAAGCGTTGCCGCGTTCTGTGTGCGGGAACAATATCACCAAACAGGAATTAAGATTTTATAATAAAATTATGAAAGAATTATAGTAAAATTCTCAAATAGAAATATAAAGTTTTTATTGATTTTTAATAGTAATTTTTTAAAAGATACATTGAAGAAACAATTTAATTTTGATATAACAATATATTTACATCTCAATCACAAAAATTTTAAATGCTACTTACAAAAAAATTAGAATTATATTATTCCTACTTATTCTTATACATGTAAGACAAACTTTAAAAATATTTAAAAGTGATATTAGATTTTTTAAACTTCGATTATAATTTTAATTTCTATTCAAGGAAGTCCTAAAATCGTCTGTTTTACCGATTATTTTTCAAATAAATATTTTTCTAACTTCCTTTATGTACACACAGTTTTAAAAAATTCTTTTTTACAAATAAAGTATAACGGCACTGCAGTCCAAACTAATTGATTCTATATAAAACAAAAAAATTGGAAAATTACAGTTATCGATTTTTAGCGTCGACGTAACTCGTAACAATATTCACTTTATATACTAATTTCATACTTTGTATGTATAAAATCTTGGACTAGAAATTAAACAAACATACAAAGTAAAAATTAAATAAAAATATTTCTAAAATTAGATTTAGATATCTAATATGAAAGATTAGTTATATAGAGAAAACTTGTGCATATGTAAGCATACGACGTAGTAATGTGTAGAGATGTGTCGATGACACGTAAATCCTATGTGTGTAAATTCTACTAAATCGGTAAAATAGACAACTTTAAGATTTTCTTAACAACATAATTAAATCAATTTACAATATTTGATAATTAATGTAAGATTAATATCGAGATTAACATCTTAATTAACATAAGATTTATTATATTAATATAATAATTAATATTAATACAATATCTATCAATATAAAATTATTATGTTAATACGACGATATATAATAAATAAAACCTTAATGTACTTATGGGCCCGTATTCACAACGCGCTTACAAAGATGTATGTTAGCGTACTAACATAATATACTTTACGTCACGCATATTATAGAATTTTAGAGATAAAAGCGCGTTCTGAATATGGGCTATATTGTTTGATAAATAGATATAAATATCGCTCATATTTAGTAACAACACAACTTAAAAAACAAAATTTTTTAGAAAATAAATGTTAAATCATAAAAATTTTATAATATTAATTTTTAAATTCAATTTTGATCTAATAATTGATTGCAAAAGAATAAAAGTATGTTTCTAAAGTACGTTTTTTTCTTTGCATTTCTGGTTTTTTGCAAGCAGCTAAAAAAAATGTACATTTTTCCGTTATGTCATATAGCAAATGAGCGACATTTATACAATAATTGTCTCTTTTTTTATTCAAAGAAGTTACATACAAATTGATAATAACTTTTCCTATTTTATTCGCATTAGTAATAACTAACTTATCCTACTCTTTTCTCGTATTCGTTTATAATTTAATTTTTTATTTATCTATATGTAAGTATATACATTTGATTTGGTAAAACAGAATATAG